CTGGATCTATAATTGCAGCTGCCCCCCACCCCCAAACCCCCTCCCCCCACCCCCGTTCATGATGGTTCTCGAGCCTTTGTGTCCGGGAAACAGTGACTGCGAGTGAGCATCGCTACACCTGGTTCCTCCTACACTTTAATTATTCACATTTGCATGACACAATTCCCTATTAATGTCTTTACTTTGTCTAGTTAGGTTTTGTGTAGCCTGCCTCCACTTTCTGAGAGTCGATGTTACAGGATAGCCCACTACCTCTGGCTCAGAGGCATTGAAGATTTTCTTGGATCATTAAGTCTAACTTATAATGCCTGAAATCACAAGGAAAGCTTACTCTATCCACCAATATTTTGGGGGTACTATGCTTTTTCTTTCTTCCAGTATCAACCAACTTTTATTTTATATACTTATTTTATTGCTGTGTATCTGTTTTTATGCACCTGTGAATCCAGATGCCACGGTTCACCAGAAGAAAGACTAAGTCACAGGCAGTTGTGAGTCATCTGATGGAGGTGCTGGGAACAGAACTCATGCCCTCATGTAAGAGAAGTTCAGTCTTGACTGCTGAGCCATCTCTCCAGATCCCTGTTTCTTAGTCATTCTTTACAAGATTTGCTAAAACAATTTCAAAAAGATTTATTTAGCAGGGAGTTGGTGGCACACACCTTTAATCACAGGACTGGGAAGGCAGAGGCAGGTGGATCTCTGTGAGTACGAGTCCAGCCTGCTCTACAGAGCAAGTTTGAGGACAGGCTCCAAAGCAATACAGAGAATCCCTGGTCTTGAAAAACAAACACACAAACAAACAAAACAAAACAAAAAGCCAATCTGGGCCACATAGTAGGACTATCTTATTGGGATTGACATGTAAAACAACCTTGTTTCAAATTTAAATAAAAAAAGAGATTTGTTTAATATTTATAGTGCCCTGAGGTAGTGAGCTGGAACTTGAATTCAGGCCTTTTGGAAGAACAACCAATGCTCTTAACCCTGGAGCCTTTTCTCTAGCCCAAGAAAAGCTTTTTTATTCATCCCAGAGCACACTAATTGTGGTGGTTTCAATGAAAATGGCCCCCGTAGGAGCTTAGGGGAGGGACATATTAGGAGGTGTGGCCATGCTGGAATACTTGTGGCTTTGTTGGAGGAAGTGTGCCCCTGAGAGTGGGTTTTAAGACCTCAGATGCTCAAACCAGGCCCCGGGTCTCACTGTCTCTTGCTGCCTTCCATGTAGAGCTCTCAGCTGCCTCTCCAGCACCATGTGCGCCTGCATGCTGCTGTGCTTTCCGCCATGACAATGATGGATAAACCTCCAAACGGTAAGCCAGCCCTAATTACATGTTTCCTTATGAGAGGTACCCTGGTCATGGTTTCTCTTCCAGCCGTATGAACCAAGATACTGTTATTCTTTGCTTCTCCTCCTTTTCATCATCTTTGTTACTTTTCTGTAGCTGTGAAAAGAAACCATGACTAAGACAACTTATATAAGAAAGGGCTTTGGGGGGGGGGGCTTACCGTTTCAGAGGGTTACAGTCTGTAGTGGCTTCAATGAGTGGTCCCCGTAGCCTTATTTATTTGAATACTTAGTGCCCTGTTGGTGGAACTGTCTGGGAAGAATTAGGAGGTTGATCTTGTTGAAGAAGGTGACATCAAGTGTGTTTTCCAAAAGTACATCCTGTTCCCAGCTGCCTGACTGCCTGCCTGCTTGCCTGCCTGCCTGCCTGCCTGCCTGCCTGTCTTCCTGCCTGCCTGCCTGCCTGCCTGCCTGCCTGTCTGCCTGCCTGCCTGCCTGCCTGCCTGCCTGCCTGCCTGTCTTCCTGCCTGCCTGCCTGCCTGCCTGCCTGGTGCTACGCTCCCCACCATGACAGTCATGGACTATAAGAAGGTCATTCATTTGGCTAACTCTGTGAACATAGGAGGCAAAGGCTATTCATCTATCCATCATCTACCTATCTAAATGGATGGAAGGTCTGATGAGATAGCAATGGAGGCAGGAGAATCATCCGGAAGGCAGACAGCCGTCTGTAGTCAGAACTCCTGTAGACCCAAAACTTAAGTGTCTGGGATGAGAAAGAAAACAATTAGAGGGTAGTATTTTTCCCATTGTAGCTATAGCATTCAACAATCCTCTCCAGACCTAGAAGACATGGCTCTCCAATAGCTATCAGCAACAAGCTGCTTTGATTTTTTTTTCTTTTGTTATTTCATCAACAGGGGGGTATGGTAATATACACCTATAATTCAAGCACTTAGGAAGACCAAAAGTTCAAGGCCATTCACGGTCGGCACAGACTATAGAGGATCCTATCTCAAAACCAAAACAGCAAGACCCTATTTCTGCCCATGCTTGGCAGCAGGAGATAGATGCCTAGAATGTTTCAATGTCATATCTCAGATTCCATCTTCGTAGTCAGGGAGTAAGACTCAGGGCTACTCAAGGCTAAGGATAAAATTGATTAGGTCATCACACTCTACCAAAATCTATTTTGAAGTTTTCTAATTACTTTAGAAACATAGTAGGCTTGGAATTCTATTTAATGTCTCTTATTTAAGCTAACTAGGACATGTATACTATATACACAAATAAGGTATGTCCTTACCTGCAGCCATCTATTTTAACAGAAGGGCATAAACATTTTTTTAAAGCACAAACTGCAATAAGATACACAAAATGTTAGGCAGTGGTGGCACAAACCTTTGACCCCAGCACTGGGGAGGCAGAGGCAGTCGGATCTCTGGTCTGCTGTCACTGGCCCCTGGGGTTTTTCTTACGGCAGCGACATTTTCCTTCATATTCAAGAAAGGGATGGTATGATGGAATTCTTCTTGCTGCCAGATCGTAAATCTTTCCCTTTATCCAGCTGAGGGCTCCAATGTAGGAAGACAGAACTATTCATATCAAAGTACTGACAGAGATGGAAACGGTCCCCAGCCCGCCTGATGCACTCCATGAATTCCTCACCCGGCAACAATGTTCCCAATTGTCTTGCTTCATTCACAGTTCACTGAGCCAAACCTGTCAGAGCCAACCAGCAGCTGCACAAACTCGTTTTCTTAGAAATAAACGGAAGAGAGAAGGAAAGCTGTGGCCAGCGATAGACTCAGCCCACCGAGGGGCTACTCTCAAGGCTCCCGGACCTGAGTTCAATCCTGGGGTACCACATAGTGGAAAGCCGGAAGGAACTCCCACAAACTGCCCTCTAACTCCCTACACGTGACGACCTACACATATATACAAAACAAACAAAAAAATGCAGTTTAAAATTTTTCCATAAGAGCCTGTTGTGGTGGTCAAAATTAATCTCAGCACCTCGGAGACTGAGGCCAGGCCAGCCAGGGCTACAGAGTTAGACCCTCCCTCAAACGAGACAATGTATTTTTTAAAAGGAAAGGAAAAGGGGTGGGATGGAGTTAGTAAATGGTTCCTTATCAAGGTAACTTTTTATGGAGTGTGTGAACATAGTCAATATTTCCATGAAAGCATATGTACTTTTGATTTGAACATAAGCCTACTTAAGAACCTTCTTTGCATGATAAATCCTTATATACGTATTTATTTCCTCTCTATGACAACCGGGGGAGTTAAACCTGAAGGCAAGAGGGTCTGACCCAGTCAGAGGCTGGCCCTGGACTCAGATCAGAACAAGCTTCACTTGGAAAAAGCTCGGCTTCTTTCCTCTAAGTTGCTACAGTGGAGAGTGCAAAGTCCACTGCCAGATCTCACTTTAAATCTCCAGAGTTAAAGTGTAAGCCAGGCAGGATAGGATGGTGCAGACCTGCATTCCCCTAGCCAGGCGGAGACAGAGGGACCAGAAGTTCAAGGTTAGCCTCCTGCTACTTAGCAAACGCAAGACCAGCCAGGGATACAAGAAAACCTTTCTGAATACAAACAAGAAATCTCAGTCTCGAAAAAAAATACTATTAGAATTATTTTTTAAGGCGAAAAGTTAGACATAACTGCCAGCCTAAGGTCGGGTGGGGACTGGAGAGGATTCCAAGGTCACGTGGCCTTGGAGGGTCTCAAGTTCCTCCGCCGCCAGGAGTCTGCGCCTCTAGATGTAATCCTTCCCAGAGCCGCGAGGTGGTGCGCGAGGCAGCGCTAAGGTTGTGGCCCCGCAGAGGAAGGTGAGGGGACCCTAAAAGGGGACAGTCATTAGAAGGAGTTATTTACCCTTCCCCTGTCCACTTTCACGGCCAGTACCCCAGCTGGATTCAGCAACAGCCCCAACTCTTCAGCGGCCCAGGCTGCCTCTCAAGACCTTCCCATCACCTCACAGAGGTACGAAGCTCTGGGGACTCTGAGGATACTGTGGCTTACGCATCTCTTACAGGCTCTACTCTGCACACCTGTCTGCCGAGGCCGGGCCACACTGGAGGTTAAATCCTCTCAACAGCCTGGTCACCAGCTCAGTCCTCGGCCTTTCACACGCGGGGGGGGCAGTATTGCCGATCTCCCCTCCCCCGTTGCCATGCATATAATGAGATCTCCCCCGAAATGTGCTCCAAGGACACCACCCTCCGTCCCCGATTGCAGTCTGTCCTGGGACTGGGCGACTATTTCGAAGCTCTTCGAATGCCGCCTGAACTGAAGCGCCCTGCTAAACAACGCAAAGAATGAAAGAAGGGAGACGCAGACGGACAGACGGACGGACGGAGAGAGACTATGAATGAACGTGACTGGGTTATACCGGCTACCGCCAGCCCCCCTCCCGATTTCGGGTGCCCTGCCTTGCCGGGGCGGACCTCCAAGCCGGGTGGAGCTGGCCAAGTGCCCGAGGGGCGGAGTCCTCTGAGCGGCCGGGCTGCGGGCGGAGCTGCGCGCCAGGTGACTTCGGATTTCCGTGTTCACGTGGATCGGGGCAGGTGGCGCGGGGCGGGTGGGAGAGGAAGGGGAACGAAACCCGGCGCTGCCCTGTGCGAAGGCGGCTGGCTCCGCGGGCCACCACGAGGAGGGGGCGGGCGCGCCGGGCCGGGCCGGGGCGGGGCGGACACGCCCTCTCGCGGGCGCGGGCCGCCCAGAGGGATCGGTGCCGGGTGCCCGCGCCGCGCGCCGGGCCGCGGACGAGGCTGCCCCAGGCGGGCAGCGGTGGCGCGGGGACGGCTCGGGAGCCCGATCCTGGGAGCCTGGAGCCCGGCAGGGCCATGGGGGCCGGGGCCGGTGGGCCGGGCGTCCTGGCGGCGCTGCTGTTCGCGGTGTGCGCCCCGCTCCGGCTGCAGGCGGAGGAGCTGGGTGAGTGGCCGCGGGCGCCGGGACTCTGGGAGGGCGATGGGCCTCCGGGGAGCCTGCGGCTGGGCGGGCGGTCTCCGCCAGGCCGGGGATCGGCTGAAGTCAGCGGGTGCATTCCCGATCGCTCCCCAGAAACGCCTTCCTTCCCCCCACAAACGAGCGCGGCAGCTTGGCGCCTGTTTCCCGGCTGCCTGCGCAGTGTCCCCCGCCCGGCTGCTTAGTTTCCAGACTTCCAGACTGGCGGCGGGGGCGAGGGGCCTGGCTCCGGCTGAGCGCCCCGCCGGCTCCCGGTCTCTGCCTGCCGTGGGGTGCTTCTGCGGGGCTGGCCGAGAGCAGGCTGCAGACGGGGCCACAGCCTTACGCGTGTGCGGCTGGCGACCCGACTTGGAACTTGTGGTTCGGGTCCCAAGACTGTATTTGAGGGAGCCAACTCCCGGCCCAGGCTGCTTTTCCTCGGTAGCTGATCTTTGGCTTCCAGCGCCACCGAATTTGCCCTCAGTCTACCGGATTAAAGCAGGAATCTGGGTTCCCAGCCCTACGTGGCTCTCCTTCGTTAATCTGCATACTTCTCCTTTGATAGGAAGGTCCAGCTTTCTGCCGTTTTTTTTTTTTTTGTTTGTTTGTTTGTTTGTTTTGGGGGTTTTTATTTCTCCTTCTTTCTTGTTTCTTTCAGTTTTTGTTTCTCTCCTCTCCTGTCTTTTCTCCTCTGTAACCGGAGTTAGTTAATGGCAGCGAATTTATGCAGAATACTTGGACACCACTCCCCACCCCACCCCCGCCGCCCCCGCTAGGCTTTCTGGTGAGACAGGAATCGAAGCTAAACCCTTCGCTGGATTTTTTTCATTGAAAAAAATGTATTCGTTCACCCAGACATTCAGCACGTTGATAGTATTACAAACACAAAACAAAAATGTAAAGTTATTTTGTTTAGTTACTGTAGCACAATCCAACGTGTGCTAAATTTGCAATATATAAGGTATTATGAATGCTTTATAAACATACTATTTATTTATTTATTTATTTATTTATTTATTTATTATTCTTAGTTCTGGGGACCCCTGTGCAAGGCAAGTCCTTCACCAACGGAACTATATTTCACCCCTTGAATGCTTTAAATCTTGAAAACACTTCTTCAAGCCATTTTGAAAATGTACCGTTTTACATTTACTTCTTTAAAGATTTATTATTGTGTGTACTCGTGTTTATGTTGGGATATATGCATGTGAGTGCAGATGCCAGTGAAGCCAGAGGTGTCTGATCTCTTGGATCTTCAATTGCAGGCAGATGTGAACCCCGAGTGTGGGCGCTGGGGACCAAGCTTGGCTATGCTGCGAGAGCAGTGTGTCCTCAAAACCGCCGAGATATCTCTGCAGCCCCATCTTTTAAATTTCTGATTAATTTATTGTTATCATTATTTGCTGTTTTGGGACAAGACTGTATTTTGTACCTCAGGCTGGCCTGAAGCCCACTATGTATCTTAGACTACTCTTGAATTCATTCATGACAATGCTTCTAAAGCCGCCCTAGTGCTGGACGACAGGCACAAGCCACTGTACGGTTTTGGCTTTTGCTTACTTCTTTTTTAGAATTTTACTTTGTTGTACATTACGTCTATGAATGTGGGTGTGTACATATGAATGTAGGGACCCTCTGAGGGCAGAGGCCAGGGATCCTCCAGTGGCTGGAGTTGTGATCACTTGATCTGGGTGCTAGGAACCCAACTTGGGTCCTCTGGAAGAGCTATATGGTCTCTTAACTGCTGTAGCTCATTCATTTATTTCTGTTTTCCTTTCTTACGTTTTGTTTGTTTGTTTGAGAGTGGGTCTTTTGTAAACTCACTGTTTAACCTGAATCCTGATCCTCAGCCTCCAGAGCTAGGTGAGAAGGCATTTTTTAACTTTTTGTACATCTGTGATGAAGCATGTCCTCCACATGAAGATGCTTACCTGGGTTATGTGAGCACTTTAAAAGTACAGTTGTTCAGATTCTTACCCCGCTTCCAACTTTAGACCTTGTTGCCATTGACTGATGGAAGGAGATGCTGTCATCAGGGTTATCATGGAACATCCTCTGTATTCAGGTTTTTAAAATAAATGAGTACTATGGAGGCCTTGAGGTTTGCTTGTCTCCTGAGGTACTTTGCAAACAGGCAGGAGAGGATTGCCTCCAATTGAAGGCTAGCCTGGATTACATAGTGAATATCAGGCCAGCCAGGGCTGCACTGCAAGACTCTGTCAAAATAATGACTATATGTGGGTATTTACACACAAAAGGTAAAGTCAGGGCTGCATTTCAAGACTCTGTCAATGAATAAGTAAATAAACAGATAAGCAAATAAACATACACAGATAAATGAATTAGTGAATGAATGTGGGTATTCACACACAAAAGGTAAAACTTAGGTTCGGGATATTTACTTAGCAGGATCTAGGAATAATATTGATGAGTACTGTTTTTTAGGTTTTTTATTATTATTTTTTTAATTGTCTGTGTACTTGATGCACACATGTGTGAAGATAAAAAGACAATTTGCAGGAGTCCTTCCAGCATGTATATTCCAGGGATCAAACTCAGGTCCTCAGGCTTAGCAGCAAGGACCTTCACATGTCACCAGCCCTGTTTTTTTGTTTTTTGTTTTTTGTTTTTTGTTTTGAGGCAAGATCTCACTCTGCATCCCAGAATGTCCTGGAGTTCACTATGTAGCCCAGTCTGGCCTCAGATCTTCCGTTCCTAACCCGGCTGCTCCTGGCTCCCTGTTGCTAAGATTGCATCCTTCGCCATCGCTTCTGGCATCTATGAGTTCTAATGTTCTCACATTTGTGGTCTTCCAGACTACTTGGTGGAAGGAACAGTTTGCAAGTGTTCATAAATGTAACCAACCATGCTGACTTTAGGTCTAGAGATTTGCTCCAGGCTCTTGATTTATGGGGTCGTAGTGTCAGGAATGAAATCAGTGCTGTCAATGCTTAACATTAGCTTACTAGCCTGTCTTTGTTGAGAACGTACTATTTTGAATTGAAACTTTTGTTCATTCAGTGTGGGTCTTCCTTCCAGGTTGGAAGCTTTGCAGCTACAGTCCCCTGATTTTATTTATTTGTTCTGCTTTTTGTTGTTGTTTTTTGAGACAGGGTTTTTTGGTAGCTTTGGAGACTGTCCTGGAACTTGCTCTGTAGACCAGGCTGGCCTCGAACTCACAGAGATCCATCTGCCTCTGCCTCCTGAGTGCTGGGACTCAAGACATGCGCCACCAACGCCTGGCTTAAAATGACAAGTATTCTTGACCTGGCAGAAGCAACCTTTGTTTCCATCTCATCAGAGGTAGCAGAGGCCAATAAGAGTTGACTTTTTTTCCATACAAAGAAAAAAAAATTATAATAAAGTCATTTGCTTGTTTTGTTTCGGGACACAGGGTCTGGTTGTGTGGCTCAGGCTTGGCTTCAGAGCTTAGGCTGGCCTCAGACTTCTGCTTCAGACTCCCATGTGCTAGCACTACAGGCATGAGCCACCGCACCATGTTCCCACCTGTATTATTTATGATGCTAGACAATGGTATTATCTAAGTTTCTGTGTTAGGGTCTGGGGGCCTCATATGGCTACAGTGATTCCTTTGTGTGGCTGCTGTTTGCCTTTCTGGAACTTTTATTCCGTTTCTTAAAACCCAACTTTTCCCAGTGTGCTTGCCCATCAACTCTTAACATGATTTTCTACTTTATAGTAATATGACATATAGCTTGCCCAAATGTATGGATTTTGTTTGTGCCAATCTGTATACTTGGGTTTGGTCCTTATTTCTGTTTTTAAGGTAGTCTCTTATTGTTGTTTGTTTGTTGTAGTCCACTGAGTTAATGAGGGTTGCTGGCATAAGCATGGGCGTGTGGTTTCCTGGAGATGGATAATTTACCAGCACCTACTGAAGAAAAATGACTTCTTTTCCCAGCAACCCCCCTGCCAATGGTTCCTCAGCTAGGGTTGGAGCCTCTCTCTGTGCTGCCCATTACTTTACTGTCCTCTTCTGCAGGACAGCCACAGCTGCTGTGTGCTCATGTGCAGAAGACCCTACCCCACATACCCCATCCTCCGGCTCTTACATTCTTTCCAAAATGCCCTTGGTTGTGATGGAATCTGAAATCCTAATTCTCTTTTCACCAAAACATGCGCCTGTGGAGAGTACAGATTTCCTCCTGGCGGTTTAAATGTGACAAAACTGAAAAGGAGCACTTGATTCTTTGGAGATCAACTCCTGGATGCTTACACATTGCTTTAGAAACCACTTCCCGGGGCTGGAGACATGGCTCAGTGGTTAAGATCACTGGTTGCTCCTTTAGAGGTCCTGAGTTCAATTCCCAGCACCCGTATGACACCTCACAACTGTCTGTAACTCGAGTTCCAGGGGGTCTGACACCCTCCCACACACATGCAGACAAATCACCAATGCACATACAATAAATAAATACATCTTAAAAAAAGGAAACCCACTTCTCAATTCTTGGTTTATTGTGCTAGGAGGTCTAATCTTCATCATTAATTTCTATTTGGGTAAACATGTGACCTGCTGGTATTTGATGTTTTAGGTAAGTGGCTTTTTCTGGCATCTTCTGCGTCTTCATGCAGACCTCCCTGGATCTTACCTGTCCAGGGGACTGTGAGGCTTAGTCAGCTTTGCAGGCTAAGTCCCCTTCTCTGTCATCCTTGCTGAGAGCTTCAGATACTCAATGACTATTTCTGAGTTGAGCCGAATATTCTTGTGTTTCACAGAACTTTCAAACCATTTCTTAGTGGTTTGTTCCTGAGAGAGTACTATAGGTCATAATGAAATTCTTTATATAGGTACACTGGCTGCTTCTGTTGTAATTTAAGGAAAGAGAGCTCTAGAGAAAGATGCCATGGTTTTGCTGTTGTTGTTGTTTGTTTGTTTGTTTTAATTAGGGAAAGGGATCATAAAATGGGGAAAGCAGAGGGAGGAGACCAATCTCCAGTGACAGGAGCAGAAGGGGAGAGGAGAG